AAGCAGTGGTATCAACGCAGAGTACTATCCGTATTTCCTTCTTTTCAAAATTAAAAACGCTTTCGATCATCTCATGAGTGGAAATGCAATACGTTTTGGGTGCTTGTAGCCCAGAAATGTCTTTACCTGAAAATATAGGAAAAAGGTACCTGCGTGCTTGGAATAACTTACACGCTAAAGAGGGAATGAACTTAATTCAGAAAGGCACCTAACAAAGCACCTTACTTACAAGAATGAAGACACTAATGAATGCTGATCTCAAAACTGCAATACTTATTGCGAAATGCTTTTCTGGAAGTTCTAAAGTTTGACCATGTCAACACATCACTTGGTAGAAAGCACTGCAGCACTTGATAGATATGCAGCCTAATCTTATAAATAAAGCTGAATGTCTGTTTGTCTGTTTGTTTGTGCGTGTGCGAAATAGAAAATTTTTCTGAACCGATTTGGACCAAAACTTGGCACACAACTTCGGGGCGGGGAGCGTGCCATAGGCCCTCTATCGATTTTTTTGCAAATTTCGAGCTAAGAGGCTGGGAGTTGGCAAGGGGGTAAGTGAGTACGCTAAATACGAATACAATATTAGTTTCTGAAATTATCGATTACCTTTATCGATTTTATCAATTTTTTGCAGAGTTCGAGCTACGGGCTGAGAGTTGGCACAGGGGGGGGGGGGGTAAGTGAGCATGCTGATTACTAACACTGCGAGAATAGGGATTTGGCATGTAGAGATGGGCATAGGGAGGGTTTTACAGGGATAGGGATGGGACCTTTATCACAGTCTTTTGACAAGGCCGAGTAAGCCAGCTACTCTGGTCATATATTGCAGATATGTTCAAATCCTTTCAGAACAGAGCATTTGCATTTTTGTTTTTGGCTCACGCTTCTTCAAAAATGCATTTGGCAGAAAATTGCAATTTTGAGATCAGCATTTAACGCTGACTTTAGCGTCACTTATCTCTTTTATAGACCACTTTGATTAGTAAGGTAAACCTCATTAGCTCATCTTTTTGAAAGCGACACATAGATATAGAGTCAACTTAGGGTGATTTTAAATATCCTACTAGTGGCGAAGTTACTCTGAGGCAAGTTATAGGCCTTTTCCTAAGTAAAGTTTTTGTGTTGACCGACATACCGACGTTACATTATCACCATCCAGGGAGTGATTTCAATGCATAATGTTCCCTATCGACACCAAATGACTCAATCTGATGTTTTGATATTTAACAACCACATCTCTCCATAGTCAATCTCTATATCAATAACTCATACTTAAAAGTTCATGACTTGCGTTAGAGTAACGTCTCGCAACGGACAGCATATTTGAAAGCACCGATATGTTCGTTTTTCGAAAAATTATGCTAGGATAGGTTAGAATAGGTGCTTCCCTAGTTGGCAATTCAAACGTATAATGCGAGTTTTTAAGTTTCAAGTCCTCAAGCACACAACCATACCTGCTATTACCGAGCAGTCCCCTTTGAAAAAATGGAAGCTTTTTTGAAGCATGAAATCGCTCAAGAAGAAACATAAAGGTTCGTTTTCAAAAGAAGTTTGATTTCGTTATTACAAAGTGGAATACAAAAAATGCATGAGAACTCTCGTAATCGTAACCTTGTTGATGAAAAGAAGTAGTTATTGAATGTCGGCTGCTGTTTAGCTCTAATTCGTTTGCACGTCATTATTGATGCAATATCGTTAAGGAATGAATTTAGTCCAAAACTGCTTTTCTTGAGTCACTATTTACAGCTGTCAAAAGAAAACGCTTAGATTTTCGCTTCAATTTTTGAAATGAATAAATGGCTATCCTTACTTTTCATCTTTGAAAAAAAAATTTGGTGTTCTGTACAACTTCCAGCGTTCAAAAAAAATTGAAGTAAGTGTATTACAGCTTTATACAACCAATATAAAACCAAGGAATACGTAGCACAACACCAGCCGCTGATTCTGGATCTGAATATTCCAGTTAAGAGTCGAAGAAAGCCAACAGTGGAGCACAGAATTCGCATAAAATGGTGGAAGCTCAAAGACAACGCTCAAGCGAAAGCAGCTATGGAGTCACCTCTACCAGAACTGGAAGATGAACCGGAGCGATCCTGGGCGAAGCTGAAGAACAACGTTCATCTGATGGCAGGGAATCTACTGGGATGTACGAAACCAGGAAAGCCAAGACTAGATAAGGAAACTTGGTGGTGGAACGAGACCGTCCAATCCGTGACCAAGAGGAAGAAGTTGGCGTACAAGCTGCAGAAAACAAGATTAGAAGACGATCATCAGAATTACCTAGCAGCGAAGCGTGAAGCAAAGAAGAAAGTTAAAGAAGCTAAAGAAGCATATGTGGCGGAGCTGTACAGAAGACTTCATACTCGTGAAGGAGGGCGGGAGATCTATCGGATCGCAAGAAGAAGAACAAACGCTACAAAAGACACTTCTACAACATCAAAGACAAGCAGGGAAAAGTGCTGAGAACGCCACAAGAGATAAACGAGAGATGGAGAACACACTTCGCAGAGATGGCATCCACGAGCTACGAATACGCGTCGACGACGACTGCAGCCGACCTTGTACATGGACCGGTACCAGCAATCACGGAAGAGGAAGTTCGCATCGCCATAATGAAGACCAAGAACGGCAAGGCGACGGTTCCAGATGACGTCTCCAACGAGTACTGGAAGGAGTGTGGACAGGCCGGAGTCTCATGGCTAGCACGACTTCTAAACCAGATTAGAACAGAAGACGATGCCACGCGACTGGTATAGAAGTACAACAATACCGATATGGAAGAATCGAGGAGACATAGCTGACTGCACTACTTACCGTCCCATCCGACTCATGAGCCACACACTGAAGATCTTCGAAAGAATAATAGAAGCACAATTTCGAAGAATTGAGCTGGCATTCAATCAGTGCGGATTCGTCAAGGGATGCAGTACAACCGACGCCATCCAACCGTCAGAGTAATGATGGAAAGAAGCCAAGAAAAGCAGTGTGAGTTACATGCAGCATTTCTCGACCTGGAGAAAGCGTTCGAAAAGTACCGCATAACATCATATATGGTGGGCGCTGCGGAAGCAGATGGTTCCAGAAGAATACGTGCAATGGATAAAGATGATCTACAGAGATGCGACCAGCCACGTACAGACAGCAGCAGGAGAATCAGAAGACTTTCAGATAAAAGCCGGCGTTCATCAAGGATCCGTGCTGTCGCCTCTCCTCTTCATCACGGTTGTAGACACGATAGTCAGAAACTTCATACGTCAACCTCCATGGGCCGTGATGTATGCAGATGACGTGATTCTGATGGCGAGAAGCAGGGATGAGTTGGAGGCGGATGTGCAGAAGTGGAAATCTGAACTAGAGCTGCACGGCCTGAAGATCAATGCCGCGAAGACCGAGTACATAGAGCTAGGAGCTCAAACGCCTGGAACCATACAGATTGAAGACGCTCCAATCAAGAAGACTACTACCTTCAAGTACCTAGGAAGCCGCATCTGCGCAGATGGTACGATCCAAGAAGAGATAGCTGCCAGGATAAACGCAGCTTGGTTGAAGTGGAAGAGCCTCACAGGAGTCATGTGCGATAAGCGGATGCCACGCAAGCTAAAGTTTCAGTTGTACCGTAGTGTGATCCGCCCGACAGCTCTATACGGCAGCGAATGTTGGCCGCGTACTCGAAGCGACGAATGTAAAGTCAGTGTGATGGAAACACGCATGCTACGATGAAGGAAGGCGTCACCATGATCGACCACGTTACCAACGATACCATACGCGCGACGATGAAGGTCGCCCCTATAGCTAAGAAGATGCAGGAGAGAAGACTTCGATGGTATGGTCACGTGCAAAGAAGGGAAGAAAGCCATATCTCCAGATCAGCCACAACAGAAGAAATACCAGGAAAGAGGCCAAGAGGAAGGCCAAAGCTGAATGGTCGGATAAGATCAAAGCGGATCTGGAAGAACTAAAGATCGAAGAAGAGCAAGCCTTAGACCGCGAACTGTGGAAGAGACTTACAAGAGTGGCAGACCCCGAGTAACCGGGAAGATGCATGGATAAAAAAAATCTAAGGTTTCCGGCAAAGAGCATTTTTGTGAAACCAAAATATTCCAAACATTTCATTTTTTGGCTATGCTTTCAAATAGAACTTGTGTTTGAGATTACATTGTCGTTGTATCTCAAAGAATTTTTAAAGATAGCGGATACGACTGTATGCTGCAGGCAATGTCCGATTCGCTGGCTACTCTCGAGTTCTAAGTTCTTACATCATATCGAATTCATAATGCTCTGCTATTTTACAATAGCAGCTTGCTGATAGTTGAGCATGGCTGAAGGAAATCACAAAAAAGTAAAGTATGTTGCCGGACGAAAATGCCAGAGCAATCTGGACAAAAGAACGCAAACGCGGGAGGGGGGGGGGGGAAGCTATATTTTCGTACCCTGCTTCTAATGCGTCTAGTGGGTAATAGAACCGCGTTCGCGTTTTTGTATCCGGCTTCCTCCGGCAGTGTACCTCAAAAGCGTGTTTTACTTTTGAGACGTTTCGGTAGTAATCCCAGTTTTTTTTACTGTACCTCTAACATCTTTCTTCCTAAAAACATGGCGCGACCAATCACAGTCCAAGCAGAGAGTACTTCGTAGCGTTCTCTTTCAGCCTCTTGTACAAAATTGCTGAAACAGAAAACATCAAGGCCCGTATGCAAGTACATCCTCGCTTGAGAGGGAGGAGATTTGGAAGGAAAAGAATTATATCGCTGTTACATTGAGTTGGTGCAAAAGTTCTCTCGCACCAAATTCAAAAATACTTAACTTGTTGAATTCTCAACGAATCTGCAAGATCTAAATTTTGCATAAGAGAAGAACTCATGCCTTTTACATAGGTACTTGAACCGTTCGCTATCGAGAACAGATAAAGGAGAATGAAGCTGAAAACCAAAATCACTCGAAATTTGAATTTTTCTTGTAGGGTCATAAAAAATCGGAAACTTACAACAAAAATCGGAGCAGTCAACATTGTAGGCTCTTTCACAAGCACTTTCCAACAGTGCAAAGTTTGCGCCGATTGAGCGTTGAAAAGTTATGATTTTCGAGCAAGCAATACAAAAGGGCGAATTTGGTTTATTTTGGCATTTTTCAGAGAATTCATAACTTTTCACAGAGAAGCTCAATCGGCGCAAACTTTGCACTGTTAGAAAGAGCTGGTGAAAGATCCTACAGTACTGACTGCTCCGATTTTTGTTGCAAGTCTCCGATTTTTTATGACCCTACACGAAAAATTCAAATTTTGAGTGATTTTGGTTTCGAGCTTCTATCTCCTTCATTTGTACACATTAATGGACAGTTTAAGTACAGTTGCAAAGAGCATGAGTTTCTCTCTTATACAAAATTTAGACTGCAGATTCGTTGAGCATTCATTAAGTTATGAATTTTTGAATTTGGTGCGAAAGAACTTTTGCACCAACCTAATAGATATCTTTGTTTCTCTTTGCCTGCTTTTCATATTTTCAAAGGTTCTCATACCGTGATACTTGAACATAATGGATGACAGGACATTGCCCTACAAATGGCGATCACTACTTTGTGTTTTATAATTCATTTGTGATGTGCAGCGTTTACGATGAGTTTTAGAGTCATCATTATGCAGGCATGAGGCAAACCTTTTGCAGTATACAACGCACATGAACCTATACTCATATCACAAAACGCCAGAAAAATGTCGATCGGCAAATCCTAACTCCTAAATCCTAACCCTAACCCTTTAATTTTGTTTGTTAATATACTGTTCATCTGCTTGTTTTGTGGTGACAATCGAGTGGTACAAAATTGAAAAAGTCTTAGACAAAAAAGATCTGCGCAAGGGAAAAAACCAAAATTCAAAATGCTTTTCAAATTTTTTGAGTCCCAAATTATGGCATTTACCGATTTTGTGTATGCTGAGCACTTAACTGTTTTTGCAGAAACTGTCAACAATTGCCGCACCTAGCACATGCAGAAGTAAGCACTTTGATTCTTTCTTCAAAAGAAGTTTATGCGCTATTAAATTACCGCAACTATTGACCATGTTGAGGCTCCGAGAGTCAGGGTCCTTGAAAATAAAGTCGGTGCATAGTGTAGGCAACCTCTAGTGAGTACAGCAGCTAGATTTCAAAAAGGCACTATCATGAATTCCTGGACAGAGTGAATGTTATGAAATTCTTGTTTTGAATAAGCTTGTTCAGAGCTCTTTTGTAATAGATTAAGCTAAACTATCGTTAGATAGCGCATGAAAAGTTTCGGCAGCATGCTAGACTTGTTTCAAAGAAGAAAGTACTAGAAGTCCTTCCTGAAAAAGCCTAGAAAAACGCCCACCGATTTTGCGTCAACCTAGTAGGACCCTGGCGATCATTATATATGTGTACTTTTTCGTCTTCCTAAAGAAATGCCCTCTTTCGCCTAGCGATGGCAATTAGACACGCCAAAAAAATGCGAGTAAAAGGGAATTTCCTTATAAAAAAAGAGGAGAGCCTTTGGAAGATGATTCATTTCCAGCAGGTTTCGGCACAGTAGCCGTCATTCATAAAGTGTCGGCTAAAGCTTTGCGCTGTTAATGCATAGCAAGCAAGAAAGACTCGATACATAAAAGATCGCACTTATCCAGAATGTTCTGTGCGCCATAGTGCTATGTACCCATATTTAGTTGCTTTTGAAGCAAGCTTTTGCTTTGTGGTATTCCGGTTGCAAATAAAGGGCGTTGTATGTTGATGGTTTGTCGTTGGATTTAGCCTGCGGCAACTGGTGCGGGCTGTTCCTGTTGTGATGCATAATTTGTAGATGTTTTACAAGCGGAGTCTATAAAGGCATGACAATTTGCAGCTGCAAAAGAGGGAGGAGAAGAACAACATAGTAGGTAGGGACTCTTCTTGCTCCACATTATACCCGTGTAATGCTTGTCTCCCCTGATTGCCACGCGAATCCAAGTTTTATTACCGTCATTGTACACAAAACCACTTACAATAACGCTTGAGTGTCCCACTGGCCCATATTTAAGGTAACGCGTGGATTGTTATCTTGAACTACTGCACCAGTTCTAGAACCTTTGATGTTCTTTGCGACTTCTTTCATAAAACGCAGTTCCTAAAATTTATCAAATATTTCTTTTAATTTTAACTGCTGTACCTGATGAACTCCTGTCACATTGATGGTTCCGGACCTATCGAACACAAACACTATTGATTTTTTCTCCTTGCTTTCCTTACAACTCAAACAGATTATACCCTAAAACATGCAAGTATCTTTGCAGTACCCAAGCGACATTTTTTAAAAACTTACAGGCGGATAATTACCGTAAACTTTTGGGTTTTGGAGTCTCCCATCAGTTTCAGGAAAGTTGCACTCGCACTGTTTTGTTTTTGGATTATATTTAGCAGCCCTATTGCATGATTCTCCTTTGCGTAATGGTCTATTAGGTTCTTCTGGACCACCTGTCGAATTTTGCGCGATCAGATGAAATTGGTCGCAAAATCTCTATGTATATAAAACACAACGTTTATATAAACTTCTCAATTTGAAGATCAACTTATGCGGCGCCGACATTCGTTGCCGTGTTGCCATGAATTGCGCTGAGTTTGCGCATGTACCGGCTTTTCCTGCTCCCAGCAGCGAATGATGACTGCACAGGCGCAAGAAAATCCAAGACGACACATACGCAAAGGCAGCACGAAACTCAAGGTGGCGACCGCGGAGGCTCGAGCCGCTAGAGTTTTGACGCTTACAGCCCACATTTGGACACAATTCGTAATACTTCTTGTCAACCCACTTGAACCAAACTGATCCATCCTGCCTTAAGGGCACTTTGTCAGTCAGACTGATGACCGCCCATCTCTAATGTTTTCAAAGGCAAAGCCAACTGCCAGAAAACCGCCGATCAAGTACCGCGGTCAGTTTACCTCGTTACGCGTAAGATGAAGGCAGGTTGTAAGTCGAACTGACGAGGACAGTGTGCAAAAGCAGAGATTCGGAGGAGAATTTGGTAAGTTGTCGTGGCTAAATTATGAGACACGTAAATTGAACTTTCCATGAACGGCAATTGCGCAAACTCCAGTTTCTATGACTTACACGTAGAGAGAACAGTTGAACAGTTAATTTCATTGCGAAGATAAGAAAAAGAGTTAATTTTATTTGTATGCATAAAACTCTTCGAAAAGATATTTTGAAATAACACTCTTCAAAATGCGATTCAAAATGATAAGAGTAGCATTTTATCTTTCCACTTACTCTTCAACAATTGTGATTACAGCATTTGTGTCAAAATCATGTAAATTCGTCTTACTTTCTCGTCAATGGCTATCATAGAGCTGGCTGCGCACACATAAGTTACTGTACCCGTTGGCCTACAAATGTAGCAACGTAGCAAACACAAATCCCAAATTGATCTCGAAATATGGTGCTTGAAAGTGGTTTACTCATTTAAACGAAGACGCACAAATGCGTTTCATCAAAAATAACTGAAGACCGCCTCAGTACAGGACCTAGCATTCAACACCGATTGAGCTTAAACTATGCACGCATAAGTTACTGTACACGTTGGAAAACATAGGATCTTTTCACGACGATTTAACACCTTTTTATCGGTTCATTGATTTTTGTACGTACTATAACAATAAGAAACGAGATTTTTCTGATCATTATCAGATCACACTATGACATATAAATGGAGGTGGTGTAGCTCATATAAGTTGTTCGCAATGAAGAGGACGCGGTTTGCAAAAGGAAGACAAACTCAGCACAAGCGCAGCAGCACCACTTAGAGGACGGGCAGAACGCGAGGAAGGAAGGAGAGGCAGTGTGAGAATGGGAAAAAACAAGACGGAGAAAGTATAAGTTATGATAGGATAGGTTATGATTTTCGAGCAAGCAATACAAAAGGGCGAATTTGATTTATTTTAGCTTTTTTTTTCAGGAAAGTCATAACTTTTCATAGAGACGCTCAATCAGCGCAAACTTTGCAAAGTCAGAAAGAGCTGGTGAAAGAACATGTAATAGTGACTGCTTCGGTTTTTACTGCAGGTTTCAGATTTTTTATGACCCTACACACAGAAAAATCAAAAATTGAGTAGTTTTATTTTACCGCTTATATTAGGTTGTCCGGAAATTAATGCAGGTTTTGAATTCCAACCGCAATATGTCACACATTTCTCATTTCTAAGTAGGTTGCAAAATACCATTCGATAGAAGAAAGAAGCTCTACAAGACGGCTATCTTGCTTGAGCGACAGCTTTGATCCACCACGAGTTTCGAGCCAAAAACTAAAGAGATTCAACTGCCCGAAAAATTGAGAAAATCGTAACTCAGTTACAAAAATCCTACAAAAATTCTAACTTGCTCACGTAAACACAATCCACATAAGGCATCTATATACGTCGTTGCCGTATTTTTTTTCTCTGTTAGAAATCAAGAAAACGGGAATTTTCGTGCATTTGCCAAAGTGAAGCTGTGCCGTTTCCACATAAGTAGTTGTATATCACAAACTCGTAGAAGTACAAACGTAAATTTCCAGTTCTTTACAAGCTTTAGTTCTCGAGAAAGATCGAATACAGTTTTCCCTATTCATGTGGTCCAAGCTAAAATTCAAATTTCTTGAGAAATAGAACTTGTAGAGAGCTGAGAATTTATGTCTGTACTTCTACACTTCTATTCTTCTGTACTTCTAGGGTTAAGCAGTGGTATCAACGCAGAGTACTCGGCACAGCATCACTTTGGCAAATGCACGAAAATCCCCGTCTTCTTGATTTTCAACAGGCAAAAAAATACGGCAACGGCGTATGTAGATGCCTTATGTGGATTGTGTTTGCGTGGACAAGTCAGAATTTTTGTGGGACTTTTATGGACTGAGTTACGATTTTTCTCAATTTTTCGGGCAGTTGAATCTCTTTAGTTTTTGGCTCGAAACTCGTGGTGGATCAAAGCTGTTGCTAAAGCAAGATAGCCATCTTGTAGAGCTTGCTTTGTTCCATCGAATGATGTTCTGCAACCTACTTAGAAATGAGAAGTTTATGACGTACCTGCATTAATTTCCGGAGAACCTAATATCTTTGTAGTGTATGCCCAATAGAATGCCGTTAAGATACCGCTATAAAGAAAATGACTTGCTCTTTCAGATAAAAATGAAAGCATTAAAATCGGTTGGAAAACCAGAAGTTATGAAAGAAAATGGTGCGAACGAACTTTTGTACAACCTAATATACTAGGTCGTCCCGAAAGTTCTTGCGCACAATTTTTAAAAATTCACAACTCTGATTTTTCCATTCGATTCGATAGCTTTCATTTTTATTTGAAAGAGTAGCTTATGCTCTTTACAATGACATCTTAGCTGCTTACTAATGATTATCTTTTGCATATACAGGGTGCGGCAAAAGTCTGGGAGCCTAACTTTGCAGTACTGCAATTAAAAAGAAACTGATGGTTTTGTTTTTAATTTTATGCCACATGATGCTGCTGTCATCCTCTACAGAATACACTTTTTTTGGTTGGAAATGGCTGTCATATGTTTTTGTAAGAATGGAAATTACCAAACTAGTACTTTTGCAAAGCGAAAAAACCGGAATTTTTGGTATTTACAATATTTGCTGTAGCTAGAGATGCTGTTATTATTTTACAAAACTTCGATGCACACAACATAGAAGAGGCTTCGCGCTATTGTATCCTAGTTTTGCTTTTGCCAGGAGCTGTTCTTGCATGAACGGAAAATAAAAGTTTGCGAATGTTACCTACGCGCCAGTGGAAATCCGTCTTCAGAACAAATTTAAAAGCTATAGAATGCTCAACAGGCACTGTGACCAAGGCTGCATATTTTGCATACGTCCTTTAGATCAGAATCTATTGAAATTCGGCCATGGGAACTTTTTATATTTTTCAAACGATATTTTTAAGTTTTTATTCGCGCAGTTGTAGCCAAAATTCCGGTATACGACGTACACATGCTTCTAATTTGAAATCCAATATTTTTATTTCTAAGCAATGCAAAAAATCCGTTTGGAAGTATGTTGTAGACAAAAGTTTGCTCTATCATGCTGCGCATTTGCCAAGGTAACAGAAGCAGTTATTTTGATGGCGTGGGGCGGATTCCATTACGACTACCTGCGTGCCATGACAGGTGGACCTGCCAAGATTTTGTAGGGCTGCGTGAAAGCCAAAAGAGGAAGTTTTACAATTCAAGAACTGGGCTGTATTTGCAACCGTTCGAATTATGTGTGCGCCAAATTTTTCGTTTCTAGGTACTTCCCTTCTCGTTTTGTATGAAAAAGTACTAGGCTCCCAGACTTTTGCCGCACCCTGTATAGAAGCGATAGAAGAAAATTGGTCAAAATTTGAATTTTCTGTGTAGGGTCAAAAAAAATCGGAGTACCAAATCGGAGTAACTTGCAACAAAAATCGGAGCAGTCGGTATTGTAGGTTCTTTCAACAACTCTCTCTAAGGCCCCGGGCAGACTTCACGCGATTTGATCGTCGCGACTCAGTCGCGACGAGACAACTGTTACAACATCATTCCATGCCGATCAACTTGCATTCGGTTGTGATACTTTTCCAGCCCGACATTTTTGAATGTGAAATGAAAATGAATGGAAATCTTGGCGATTAGATCGCAACGATTAAGTCGCGTGAAGTCTGACCGGGGCCTAACAGTGCAAAGTTTGCGCTGATTGAGTGTTACGAAAAGTTATGACTTCCCTAAAAAATGCCAAAATAATATAGAGACGCTCAATCGGCGCAATCTTTGCACTGTTAGAAAGAGCTGGTGAAAGAACACAATGCCGACTGCTCCGATTTTGGTTGCATTTCCGATTTTTTATAACCCCTACATAGAAAATTCAAACTTTGACCAATTTTCTTCTGTCGCTCCTATCTATGCAACAAATGACCACTAGTAAACAGCTAAGAAGTCATTTTAAAGAGCATAACTTACACTTTCATATGGAGATAAAAGCCGTTAAATCGGTCGGAAAAATAGAAGTTATGAATTTTTGAATATTGTGCGCAAGAACTTTCGGGACGACCTAATATTTACGTACATAAACATAAGGTTACCTGTAGAACATAGTACAGGCCGACGTCCCATTGCTGGTATATCAATATATCCTGTCTTCAACATCAAGGCTGTTATTCTCGGTAAGTCGGCACACATGTTGTCTGGGTACGTGTTTTTCCAGTGCTCTGGTTTAAACTCCTAAAATGGTTTACTAGTTGATGATTATATGCTTCATTTTCACTTTAAAAAAATGAAACCTAACATCTACAAATGCAAGAAATCTATGAGTTGCTTACAAATCTATCTCCTTTCTTGTCGTAGTAGCTCCAATGTTTTCTATTAGACATGAACAATTTTTCCTTTTCGCACTTTTCCGCCTTCATGGAAAACGCCGCTGACCTTCCTTTCGAAACTCGAAAAGATAAGTCTTTGAACTGAAGCTAAGCGGATGATGCTCTGGTAGTATGAAGTATTGCTACCAACTTTGTCCATCGTTCTGGTAAATTCGTTAGCGTTTAGAAAATCATCATGAGAAGCAACAAAGCCTTTTGGGAGCAACTAAATAGGTGTGTTCAACTAAACAATTCATAGCCGTAAGGTTGCTAACTAAAGTAAATTCTCAAACCACCAACATAGCATGCAATATGAAGGTTCTTCATTTTCGCTTCAAACTGCTCCGCTTCCACGGCAAACAGCAATCCAAAGTTCGCGTAAACGCGCTCGTTTCCGTTCTTGTTTGGAATTACTATGAACGGGATACCAAGCTCCACGAAAATTTCCGTCAAATTCAGATGAGCTGAAAATAATGCTCTGGTGAGACTTTTCTGTACTTTGAGCCGATTAGTAATAGCGATAGCAAATCATTTACACACTTTCCTCGTAAGGCTCGGCTTTTCTGGAGCAAAGATATGGCATCTGCATATCTTCAGTACCATAATACGCGCAGCCTCGTTTAGTCCCATCTCTCGCACCTTGTGCCAAACGTATAAAAATAGGTTTACCTTTAGTAGTCTCAAGACCTGGAAAACATATGTGAAGCACATCGAATGATTATGCGACCATTCAAATGAAATTCACGAATGCGTGTAATTCGAAATCCTATTTGAGATATTCAATTCTCGACTACTTTTGTTGTTCTACAGAAGTAATGACTCGCTGGCGTAAGTGGCAATTAAGTCTCAAAATCAATAGCGTCAGAGGTTATCATATCTCTTTTCACGAAAAGCGAGAAAACTTTTTGAAAAGAGTCTTTCATCTGCTATGCTCGGGGACAGAATAATGTTTCAAGTGGTAGATTTGAAATTTGCAAAAAAAATTGAAATTCCTTTGATTACTCGAAAGCAAAACTTAGTTACCTGTACATGATAATTCACGCAGGTCACTTTTAGAACTTTCGCCAACGATTTTCGAAAGGAAGAGGGGGCCCTCCACTGGTACAGCTACATAAGTTTGTCAACTTGTTGCGCAATTTTAGCACCACCAGTTTTATGGTCCGTTCGTCCTCCTTTTACGATGTCTTCTTTCACGGTATTCACCTGACCGTCCTTCTCCCCCCCCCCTCTCTGATCCCTCACCCTCCAATTCCGACAAGATGCCAGTGTTTGGAGATCATTAGAGTTAAACAAGAGGTATGGCACATGATCGCTGAATACGACCTCCTCCAGGTTTCTTTCTCAATAAGACCGACCCCCCCCCTGAAGTACTGCATATCTAACAAGGGAAGTCACTTAACTTAGGTCGGCCTTCTGAAATGAGACACATATAGTTGCAATCAGCTTGAAACGCTGATTTCAAATCTGCTTTCCTTAGCTGCGAAGCATTACTCTGAAGCGAGTTATGAGCTTTTTCTTGAGCAAACTTTGCGTGTTGACCGACTTAGGCATGCTACGGTATCATCATCTAGGTAGTGGTTCAAATGCATAGTACACTCTGTCAAAGCCAAGTGACTAAATTTGATTTTATTTCAATCTTCCACCACTTTTTGGGCAGATTTTCATCGAAAGGCCCTCTTTCCATATTCAAGTTATATGTCAATGATACATACTAAAAAAGCTCATAACTAGCTTCAGAGAAACGCTTCGCAGCTAAGGACTTCATATTTGGAATCAGCGTTCCGAACTGATTTTAAACGTGTGTGTCTCATTTCAAAAGGCCGACCTAAGTTAAGTGACTTCCCTTGTAAGATAGGCATAACTTAAAGACCTTCTGAGCGTAACGAGTAATACACATGTGGACCAAATTTGTGCGAATTCTAAGGTTTCCAAATATTAGGGCACCTCAATGAAATGGTCATTTTCGAACATGGTTAATTTTGTTTTGAAGATAATTTAGCTACTTTCTTTGGCATCAATACAAAGCACTACTTCTTCTTTGTCCACCTTAGAGATCCATAAAGCACTACTTCTTTTTTGTCCACCTTAGAGATCCTGCTCCAGAAGATCTCCAACTATGGAATTGGAAGCCAACCAATCGTTTTTTCCATTTTTCGCTTTCGATGGTTGTACTTACCCTAACTCTTACTGGTGAAGGGACTAATGTCGCCGAAAGTGGGAGGTCCCACCGGACCTCTGCAACAAATGCACACTCCAATACGCGCACAGGCTGAGTGTCTCTGCATTGTCCGCGCGGGACCCTCCTACTTTCGGCGACATATAGTCTTCTTCCCGCTCTTACCCTGAGCAAACAAGACCAATCAGACTCAAATCACTCCTATAAAATCCATGAGGTTTAAGCTATCGAATCGTGTAAATATCACTGGCTTAAGTTGAGTTAAGTTAATGGGCTGTGGCACAACCTTATGAAAGCTTTGCCCTTTTTGTGCCACACCCCATTAACTGTCTCACAAAAACATTTTTAGCGAATATTATGTACACAAATCGATAGCTTAGACCTGTGGATTACATGGGAGTGATTTGAGCCTGATTTGTCTCCTTTGCTCTAGGAGTTAGTAAAAGTACAGCCATCAAAGCTAAAAATAAAGCAGAATTTCTGAAGTGGGTAAAAAAGGAGCAGTGCTTTGTATCAAGTGCTTAAAGAGGTAGTTCGTTTTTGAAACAAAGTTGATCATACTCAAAATGACTATTTCATTCAGGTAAGTCACTATTTGAAACTTGAGAGTTCGTACAAAGTTGGTCCACAGGTGTTATTTGACATGCCAATCATGATATATTACTCTATGCCTAGGGCAGGTAGGGCATCCTTATCATGCTACGGTGGTATACGATGACAAGTTATCTCATGTGCTTGTATTCCGCATAACGGAGTTATTTGAAAACTGTTTACGAACAACTTATCTGAAAAACGCTTTACGAATAATATGCTGTCATCGTTATCAATATTACTTAATTACCCCCCCCCCTCTTCCCTTTTTGACTCCTCAATACGACCGCTCAGGTGTGGCGTGCCACAACCCACGCTTGACCTTGAAGATCATACAGCAAAGGAAAGAAAATCTACTTACAAGTCAAACGATAAAGCAACGCTTCAACGTCTAAACAGAATTTGACATAAATCTGCTTGTTGGGTACGTAGAATAATTCTGCTTGCAGTGATTGTGTACTGTGGGAGCGAAATGTAATTTTCTCAAACGACTTCCCCACAATGGTCGGCCGTCTCAACGTGGCTTGGGGGTGAACTGGGTGTCAAACTGCGATGTACATGGTACTGGTAGGCAGTGGCGTACCGAGGGAGGGGGGGGGGCCCCCCCCCGAGAATTGGTCGCGAAATTTTTGAAAGTTACTTATCTTATCTATAAAGCTGAATGTGTGTCTGTCTGTCTGTCTGTCTGTCTGTCTGTATGTCTGTACGTAAGTGCGGAATAGAAATTTTTATTTCTGAACCGATTTGGACCAAACTTGGCACACGTACACTTCGGGGCAGGGAACGTGTCATAAGCTACTTTTCGTCATCGATCGATATCGATTTTATCGATTTTTTGCAAAATTTGAGCTACGGGGCTGGGAGTTGGCACAGGGGGGTAATCGAGCATGCTGATTACAAATATGATAATGACAGGGCCGGGCGGAGCCGGGTTTGCCATCTAGTGTGGGTTATAAAAATGTGCGAGTGACTCGTTTATTTTTGTAAATAATTAAAATAATTTTTAAAAATTTTTAAAAATTCTAATTAGCCTTGTAAAAAAAATTTTTTCGGGGGCGTGGCTGACGCCACGCCCCCTTTTTCCAGATTTTAGGGGTCGGGGACGCAAAAGTTCTTAGAAGCACCTCAAAAAATTTTTCGGAGTGCGTTGCTAACGCCACGCACCTTCTTTAGAAAATTTTTTTTGTCGCCCCCCCCCCGAGCCGAAATCCTGGGTACGCCACTGGTGGTAGGGTATACTCTGGTAGGGCCTCTCAAGCTGTAAGGGAGTTCGACGTTTCCGGTTACGGCCAGATGCCTAGCTAAGAGCCGGCCAGACAGATCTCCCGTTATCTGACTTTCTCCGGTCGCTAGGCTAAGGGGCTCCTCTCCCCGCTCCACGACCGGGTCAGCGACTACCCGTGGAAATCAAAAGTTGGCCTAGTAAGTCCGCTCTTGTAGGGAAAAGACTTTCAGTACTCGTTCAGCAAAGAGAAGAGAAATAAATCTTGCAGATCGGATCCCGCCTACGGCGCCGAGTGGTAGCAAGAACGATGTCAGGGAGCCTTTCGGGCTGAACAAAAACGACACGTCTACCCGGAAGATATGCCATGGAGACTGCCTCATGCTCTGCACCTACAACGCCAGGACAGTCTCTACAAACGCCGACCTCCAAGCTCTTTTCGACGCCGCAGAGCACATCAACACCACGTCATCGCTTTGCAGGAAACGAAGTTCAGGAAGAAGGACAGATGAGTGATGGGACCTCATCATTCGTGGGAAAAAGGTTCGACCACGAAAAGATGGAGGCGTTGGCTTTGTCGTCCACTTATCTATCGTCCATTTTGTCGATTCTCATGAGATCCTCTTAACTCAACTAGCCATCCTACGACTAAAACCCCCACTTCAGAAGACCATCAGCATGATTAACTGCTACTCGCCAACATCAGCAGCTGACGATTCAAAACCAATGCTTTCTACGAAGATGTGGAGGAAGTCGTCTGCAACAAAAGTCCTTCTACAAGTTCGTTGTGGGCGGCTTCAACGCGAAGATCGGGATGCCACCAGAAGAGGAATATAGGATCGGGAAGTTTGGATAGGCTCCGATATAAAAACTGCAACCGCCTCGTCGAGCTTCTCTCCGCCGCACAACTTTTCCATGGGAATTCCATTTCCCTGAAGAAAGAACATCGTCGATGGACTTGGGAATCGCCCAACGGAACGACTCATGCGGAGATCGACCTCATTCTCACCAATCAAAGGTGATGCTTGCTCGATGTCTCAATGGTTTCAACCTTCAGCAGTGGCTCCGATCAGCGCCTCCTTCGAGCGAAGATACGATTCAGTCGAGGTTAGAAAAGAAGGTCTGTCACACTATCGCAAGAAGGAATAAAGTCGTTTATGACGGTGACAGGCTGGAAGAGCTCATATCGAGTTGTGACTGGTCCATCGAGGAGGACCCAACGTACGACATGACCGGCTTCTGAAAGGATTGCGAGCCTGCGGAGAGTGCGCCTCAGTGACTTCCGAAAAGGACTTGGAACGTATTTCGAAGACCACCAAGGAATTGCTCGAAAGAAGAAGATTTCTGAGGCAGGATAAAAATGCTACTCATCTCGAGCCTGATAGCCAATCTCAATTGCAAAACAGCTTTGCAGGAGGATCTCAGGAAGTACAGACAAGCCGAGATTTTTGGAGCAGCCGAAGGAGGACGAAGTCTCAGGAAGTGTCGAAGGGACCTCTGTGAATATCAAATACCGCTGGCTGCGCTATCGAACGAAAACGAGAGTTCGACTTCTTCTTGATACAAGTGAATCTATCGCATAACTTTTACACCAACCTCTTCCGCTCATCAACACCCGTATCGATGTCCGTTGTTCTCATTGAGGAAGCACCACTACAAATTCTATCTGCTGAAGTGCGCGCGGCGATTCAGACCATA